CCTTTCTCAATGAACAAGGGCTAATTCTCTGACCAAAATAGGTGAGGTCCCTGTAATATCTGCTCACACTTAAATGGGCTTTTCCTTACTGAAACTTACACAATTTTTAATATTGCTTTTGTTTGATTGCCTATATTTCCCCATGACCCGTAGGACTCCACAATGTTTTTGCTTCCAGAGGCCCATAAAAGACAGTAAATGCTTGTTGAGAGGATAAATGGTATGTACCTCATCATTCTCTTACATCTAGCATTCTATTGCACAAACCTCACCTTTGAAAGAATGAACAGCTTGAATTGGAGGGGATTGGGTTAGGTTTAGGATCAATGGGAGATTTCTTCTTCCATTGTAACACATTAAATAAGCTTTGTGTTTTGATACTTTATGGCTTTTAGTGATAAATGAATGTACCCAGAGACACCAAGTTTCATGAACCAATCTTTTATACTTCTATTCTTTTCTTTTTAAATTTTTTGAAAAGTTTATTAATTTTGAGAGAGAGAGAGTAGGAGAGGAGCAGAGAGAGAGAATCAGAGGGAGAGAGAGAATCCCAAGCAGGCTCTGCACTGTTAGCATGGAGCCCAACATGGGGCTCGAACCCGTGATCTGTGAGATCATGACTTGAGCAGAAGTCCGACGCTTAATGGACTAAGCTGCCCCACTTCCATTCTTTCCTATTACATCAGAATAATATGCCCTTGAGAAGCATTTATGAGCATACACTGGTTTGTGTATAACCATACGTTTGTCTTTAATGAAGCAAAGTATAGAATTAAGATCTAAAGGGCATTAATAAGGGTTAGGTTGAATTGCTAGCTATGTTAAGCGGGATTATGTAGCATGCCAAAATTCATTTAGGATATATTCATTGTAATTTAGGTCATCCTGGGAATGGGCAGAGGGAAATGGGCTCTACTGAATTCAGCTTGTACATACCAGCTATGTGATTTTGGGCAAGTTGCATACATAACATCTTAGCATTAATTTCCTAACCTATAAATGAGGGGGGTGGATAACACCTAATACCTACCTTATGGGGTAGTGTAAGGAATAAATGACATGAGGATATGAAAAGCTTAGCAGAGTGACTAGATCATGAAAAATATTCAACATGAGGTAGCTAAAAAACAATCTTATGCAATAAACTAATTAGATGGAATAATTACCACATCAGTTTAGATGTTATGTAACCAAAACACTCCCGCACAACAGAATGTATTTTATCAGGTTACTAAAGATTTGTTGCCTAGGTGTACTTTTTCTAGTATTTGCTGTTCAGATATGTATTCTTTCCCAGTCAGATCACATTTCAGAATCAGAAGGGATCAGCTACTTAAGAAACACTGAGGCCCAGATTTAGCCACGGCGTTTGAATTTGGCTTTTCTTCTCCCTGGCATTAACAGCATTTGCTTTTAGTTTTATATATAAAAGAATATCTTTATATAGGCAGAAAAGGCTGGGTGATATGAGAGCAAGGAAAGAATACTCTGGTCCAAAAAAGTCATTGTTCTCTTAAAAAAATTTTTTTTTTAATGTTCATTTATTTTTGAGAGAGAGAACAAATGGGGGGGGGGCAGAGAGAGAGGAAGAGAGAATCTCAAGCAGGCTCCAAGCTCTGAGATGTCAGCACAGAGCCTGATGTCGGGGCTCGAACTCACAAACTGTGAGATCATGACCTCAGCTGAAATCAAGAGTCTGATGTTTAACAAATTAAGCCACCTAGGCACCCCCCGAAAATCATTGTTCTATATCAGCAAATTTTAAATTCCCATCACTAATAATACTTCTTCTAGGCCTTGGCAAAAGGAGACCTGCTATTTATTTGTTTTTATTTTTATTATGGAAGATTTCAAAACTAAACAAAAGTAAACAGCATAGTATAATGATTTGCATGTTCTTATCACCTGGCTTTGACAATTATCAACTCATGGCCAATCTCATCTCATCTATACTCCTACTTCCCTCTCCCACATTATTCTGAAGCAAATTCCAGGCATATTATTTCATCTGTAAATATTTTGGTACATATCTATAAAATATGTACCTATAAAACATAAGGCCTCTTTAAAAAAAAACAACATAACTACGACATCATCCCCACAGTAATTATTCCTTAATCATCAACTGCCCAGTGTTCAAATCTTTTAGATGTCCATAAATGACATAACTATTTGTTATTGTTCTTGCTTGAATTAGGATGCAAATGAATCCACACCTGACAACTGGTGGGTATCCCAACCTCTAGATTTCTCCTTCAGCTCTATTTTTCCTTTGTAATTCATCTGTTGAAGACAGTGGGTCCTGTATCATTTCTCCATAGTTTGGATTTTGTTGATGAATCCAAGTGGTGTCATTTAACACGTTCTTTACCATATTCTTCTCTTCCCTGTATTCCCTATAATTTAATACAGTTGATCTAGAGGCTTAACCAGATTCAAGTTCTCTTTTGTTGACAAGACTTTTTCACAGGTGATGATACATTCTTCTATCAGGATACATACGAAGTATGGTTTTCTCCCTTCTGATACCAGCAGCCATGTTCAATGCCTAGATCCAGTAATTTATTAGTGGTTGCAAAAATGGTGATATTCTAATAATAATTAAATATTCCTAGTGTTTTTAAAATTTTCTTATGTTAATGTTTATTCATTTTTGAGAGACAGAGAGAGACAGAGGGTGAGCTGGGGAGGAGCAAAGTAAGAGAGGGGACACACAATCTGAAGCAGTCAGCACAAAGCTCGACACAAGGCTTGAACTTACAAACCACGAGATCATGACTTGAGCTGAAGCTGGATGCTTAACCAACTGAGTCGCCCAAGTGCCCCTGTTTTTTTTTTTTTTTTGTAACTTAAATGTTTCTATAAGGAGAAATTTCCTTTTACCCACTATTTGGAAACTTAGCTTTACTTAGTGTTAATTTACCTGGGAAGTAACATGTTAGTGAACACAATGGAAATTATTAATTTGATAAGAAGTATGATGAATCATCTCGAAGGCTGAAGAAACTATCACCTCGAGGAAAAAGGAGATTATAAACACAACTAAGGTAGGTAAGTAGTGATCAGAAACCAGAGATATTTGGAAAGAGAAGTAAAGAAAGAATAAACACAGATGCTTACAGGTATCTATGTCTATCCTTATCAGTCATAAATTCCTATTTGGAAGCCCATCTTATGGCTTCAAATACAGTTTCCTTACTGAGGTCTTCATTCATGCCTCTAGTTCAGATCTCTCCCTCTGCTTTGTGCAAAACTCTTCCAGACATCACTACTTTGATGTCTAAGAGACATCTCAGAGCTAACATGTCTAAAACAGAACTTTCGGCTTTACCCCCAAATTATGACTGTCTTCCCTATTTCAATAAATGGCTATTTCCATCAGTTGCTGAAGCCAAAATGACATGAATAATCTTTACCAGCTGTTAATTTCAGGCAACTCTCCTTGTGGCATGAAAAGAAGAACTCAGAAGGTACTTTAGCAGATACTCTCCTCTGCCAATTGTTAATCCTGATTCAGTGTCATAGGATTCATCTAAATTGTGTTTGAACAAAAGCCAGTCTTCCAATCAGAGAGCAGATGGGAACTGTCTGCCAGTCATTTGATGGGTGCCCCTGAGATGACAGACTTTTAGAACTGGAAGATAGCTTAGAGATCATGAAATAATCCAAGGCCCTCATTTTAAAACGTGTGAAACTGTTGTTCTAATAGGTTAACTGATTTACCCTTTCCAAACATAATTTCCTAATCTGGTAATTCAAGTCTTACTTTCAGAAGACCCTTAAGGAATTATATAATAAATTAGTAACAAATCAAGAGCTGGGCTTTTGTTATAAATCCATTATTTTCACTCTATAAAGTAAATCCTTCCCCCTCTTCTTTCTTGCATCTTTTGAGTATTTAAGTCTTCTCAAATTATTCCAGTGACCTCTGCTGTTCCCAAGATAATGTCAAGATTCCAATATTTTCTTCCGTTTAAAAAACATGGTTTGATTTACCGACATGCCAAACTAATAGTGCACCAACTCAAAAGAATGTATTTCATGTTGGTACTTCCTTCACGTCTGTTAGCCCAAAGTGGGTTAATAGCTGCACATTATTTATGTTCAGGTTCTTGAAAACTGACTTTGGACTTGATACATGTTCTAAGTAAAGATGGACATCTCTTGTGGAAAATAAATGGGTATTCAAATTGATAATGCTGTGGTAGCTTGGTTATCAGTGGCTATGCTGATTAAGCATTTATGGGGCCCAAGCCAATTATAACCACCCCGCACTCTGTTGCACAAAACATTTAGAGGCTAGAACTGATTCAGTTCCTCCTTATAGAGGGCCTTGCATTTCACAGAGTTACGGGCGGGGAGGTTCAGAGCCAGGCTTTATAATCCATTTAAGAATGCTCCACACTGAATATGTCACCCACAGCAGTTTTCCAAGCTGCTGATGACAGCAGAGCGTGCCTGCTGAGACAATAATGGACCCTGACCTCTCCCAGTTCAGGGTTTTAAAATACAACCATAAAACGACAGGGTCCTTGAAAACCCATTCAGACCCTTTTCTCTCCTCTGGGGGAACCACACCCAAACCATTCCAAACATGTTAAACTTCCTCCTGTTTTTATATACTAGCAAAGAGACTCCATAACCTTTTACCACCCTTTGCTGAACACTTACAGAGGGCAGAACTCTGGTGGCAATTCCATCTCTCACTGCAGAACCCTGACATCCCGGAGCTGAAGCCCACTTCCTTCCTCACTGCTGAAACCCAGCTAAGCAGTTCGGAGCGCTCTGCCACGACCCCTAACTAGGTGGACAGGCCTTGACCGGCCTGCGGGCCCCAGTGCACTCGCTGGGCGTGGTCCGGCGCTGCAAAGACGTCCTGGACTTGAGGGACCTGGAGGCACCGCGGGAGAAGGGTGGGCGCGCGCCGCTCTCGCGAGAGTTCTTGGAGTGTGGGTGGCAGGGGACTGGGGAGGAGGAGTAGGGGGAGGAGGGAGAAGAGGAATAGGAGAAGCGGGAGGAGCGGCGAGCCGCTCAGCCGCCGCGGAGGCTGTTCTCCGGAGAGCAGGCGTGCGGTCCTTGCCCCGCCTTCTTTTCCTTCCCCTCCCAGTGAGTGATTCAAGGCGTGCGCTTCCCACTTCCTCCCCCTCCGCCTGCCATTGGAACTAGCAAAGCCGAACAAGTTGCGGCCGTCGAACAGCTGGCGCTCGCCTTCCTCCTCCGCTCCTCTTTTCTCCTCTCTCCATCCCTGGCCGCCGCCGCCGCCGCCGCCGCCCGGAAGCCTAGAGACCGCCGAGCCCGCAGCCCACGCCGCGGCCGACATGAGCTTCTTGTTGTGAGTAGCCAGGCCCCGCGCGCGCCGGCTTTGTTAGGGCGACCAGGGCCGCGGGCCCCAGCTCGCCCTGCCCGGAGCTGCCCGGGCCGGGCGTTCCCACTCAGCAGGTCTCCGGGAGCCCGCCCGGCGCGCGGGCGCTGCCTGACCGCCGTCGCCTCCCCGACCCGCTTCGAGCTCGCTCCGAGTTCCGCAGCCCCCACGGAGGCTCTTTCTCCCCCGACCCCAAGTCCCGACGCACCCCGGTGCCCGGGTCTGCGTGTCTCCATCACCCCGTCTTTCCCTTCGTTCCACTCTTGGGTTGGTTGGTTTGCACGCTCTGCATAGATGCCTCCCACTCCCCCCGCATGACCCTTAGGCGTCGCGTGCCGGGTGGCCTTTCTCCGTTTCGTTTGCCCGTTGCTTTTTTTCTGGATCCCCAGCACAGAAGATCGGGCGTTGTACTTTTCCCTGTCACCCCAGCATCCTTTTAACTTCCCTCTTGGGTTTTAGGAGTGGAAAGTTGGAGGGACAAGCCCTGTGGATGTTACACATGCTTAATGAGGCTGCTTTAGGGTCAGGATCCCCCTCGTGACAGCCCAGGGTCTTGGAGCCTGGAGCAGCTCCTTGGCTCCCCGAAGTGCCCTTCCTCCCAGTAGGCTCCCCAGAAAAGTAGGGGCTTTATCTTTTTAGACAGCCACGAGGTAGTCTGGTAGTGTGCCCTGGGTTGATTAGGTCCTCTGGGGAGTTGTTTTGCAGATCATTTGTAAATGCCAACTTAGCGTCACATTTAGTGCTGGTCACTATTTCATTTACTTATCCTTTATTGCAGACGAGTTTGGAGGGATGGGCGGAAAGATGGGATGACCAGATGTGGGTACGGAGGCAGCAGACAGCCTCAGGTCGTCTGAAAACAGGACATTACACCCTTGGAATTCCTCGTTTGAAAGCTTCGTTGTGATTCACTTTTGTTTGATCTGTGGTTAGAAAGCTAATAAAAACTTGGAGATTGAAACTCACACCGTATACTCCTTTACTGTTGTGGACAGAATAGCCTTTTTCTTCACAACAATAGCAATAGCAATTCTGTTCCCATTCTCTTCTTTCCCCACCTGTAATATTTAGTCGTCACATTGGCACCTGGATCCTGATAATTTAATTAACCCTTATTTTCACAGGCTCCTATGTAGAATATCAATTCTTTTTCAAGTGTGCAGGCAAAACTGAGTCATCACAGAAGGCTAACTGGGCAGGCCAGCTTGCTAACATTTCTCATATGCACTGGAGGCCTGGCTTGTGTCATCCTGTCTAACACATGTGAGTTTGTGAAATTGCTTTCTTAGGCTCATCCTGGAAGTTGATTTTGAGTGTGTCATGCAGGTAGTGATAGATAAGAAGACTGGGTGACTCCATGAAAGTCTGTTTCCTATGTTAGCTTGTGAGATTTCCAGGTATCTCAGCTTGAAGCTTCTCATCTTGAGTGTGTTTTACATTGCTGAGGTTTGATTTCTTCAAGAATTTAAAAGCTGTCCTCAAAATAGCGATGTAGATGATGTCTGTAACTGCTGCTAATGGGCTTGTGTCTCTTGGAACTCCTAGCTAAATTGGTTGACGCAGGGAAGAACCATATTTGGCTGAAACTAGAGATGGAGAAAGTTTTGGTGGTTTTTTCTGAATACAAATAGAATAGTATCCTATTTTTACATGGCTCAGTATGTAATAGTTACAGAAATGCAGTGTGTAAGTTCATTTCTCCTGAAGCATATTAGTTACGTAAGAAAAATCTTGCCATAACTAATGTGTGTGTGTGTGTATATATATATATATATATATATATATATATATATATGGCAGATTAGGGGGTTTGTACTACCTGGGGCACAATTTTTCAGTCAGGTCTCATGTAACAGTTAATATATTCCCAACATTGGATTGTGTTTGACAGCCCAAGAAAGTTAATCCAACATTTTTGGTTTTGGTTTTTGTCCACTAGTAGTTTCAACTCTAAAGTGAAGACCTCATAGATAGAAATAATAACTATCAAAAGTGAAAGAAGAAAGTTTGGGTTATTTCATCTATGTGTTATTTGATATAGCTTCCTGAATATTATTTCTGTACCAGCAGGTAAGCAGAGAAATTGAGTTGCAGTTTAGAAGTTAGATATAAATATTTTCCCGGACATCTGGGGTGGCTCAGTTGGTTAAGCATCTGACTTGATCTCAGCTCAGGTCTTGATCAGGTTGAGAGTTCAAGCCTCATGTTGGGCTCCATGATGAGCGAGGAGCCTACTTTTAAAACAAAAATGTATGTGTGTGTGTGTCTGTGTGTGTGTACACATTTTTCTTTAGTTCCTAGAAGCTTACTTGTAAGGCTACTGTAAGTGGTTGGAGCTGAGGAAGTAAGGGCATGTGAGATAGGTTTATGAGGGTGCTGACTCATAATTCCCTCATGAGGGCTTTAAGACAGAAGGAAAGAATTATTGATTTAAAAAATCATATATTGTGCCAGGCACTGATGTAGGCACTGGGTATCATTTATGAACAAAATAGTAAAAAATTCCTGTGTTAGTTCAGTTTATATTTTGGTAAGTGACCATAAACACTGAATATCAGTAAATTATATCACATGGTAGGAGGATGTAAGTGTCGGGAAACAAAGTAAAGCAGGGTAAAGAAGTTTTGGGATAGAGAGATGAGTAGATTAGGTAATACTCAAAGGGTGCAGTGATACCTTTTGTAGCTTTTGTACAGATGCACAGAATATATTTGTAGGGCATGTATAGATATGACTGGGACAAAGCTTTGGTTGTGCTGCATATTGGCCTTTGTGTATCTTTAATAAGCTAAACTCCCAAGTGGTGCATAGAGAAACTTTGCAGGAACCTAATTTAACTTTGTAGACTCAAATCTTTAAACATCGTCAGCACCTGCTGTGTGCTAAGCATTGTGGACGATGGGGGACTCCCAGAGTGATCGACCGTTTATAAGGTGTAGTACAGTCATGGGGATCTAAAGAATATGGAGCAATTTGTCTGATTTGGGCTGGAAGAAAGCTTCATGAAAGAAGCAATGGAATATAAAACAAGGGTTTTCTTTTCTGTTTTTTAAATTTTTTCTTTTGTTTCTCTTTCTTTTTTTTTATAACAAGGGTTTTCTAAAAGGGCAAGGGGAACTGGAAGATTTGAGTTAGAAGAAACGTCCTAGAGACATGAATTTGCTTGTGAATTGTACATTTTCAGGTTTGTCCGAGAGGCTGTAGGATCTTGGAGCTAGGTGAGATCTATCAGTAACATAGCTTACTCAGCCTCTTTTTGGTTATTAATCACCAGCTTCAGGTTATTGGCCTGATTATTGGCTTGGGTTAAATCAAAACACAGGCCTCTAGGGTTTTTCCTCTCTTGGCATTTTGTGCATATAAAATTCAGGGAACTTTAGAATCAGAGTGCGTTCTTAACATTCATTTAGGGTGTGTTCACTCAACATATGTTCACTCAAAATATTGAGTGTTCTCTGTGTTTCTTGTGTTTTGAAATTGCTAGTCTCTTCTGACCAGTAGAATTTTACAGAAATGTTTAACTTGAAAAAGACTAAGGCCTTATTTCCTAATGTAGGGCTACTTGGTTGGAACAGAGTTAAAACAAATACTTTTAGTTAACTTTAAAATGAAAGTCTGTAGGAAAGGTGGGTTAGGGATGTGAATGAGTATAAACCAGATCTGTTTTTGTAGAGGAAGAAACAAAGAGATTGGGACAGGAAGGAAATCTTTATTAAGCATTATATGAAGTAACTTCAATGTAAAGAGTAGAAATTTGGGAAAGGAGACCCAGGGATCATAGCTTTGTTTATGTGTCCACCTCTCTCTCCCTCTCTTCTCTTTTCCCTCCCTGCTCCCTCCCCCCAGATCCCAGCATCTTTGTTTTCTTAATTTCATTTCATTTTTTAAAATTTAAGCTTATTTCTTTTTGAGTCAGGGGTGGAGGAGAGAATCCCAAGCGTGGGAATCCCCTGACATGGGGCTTGATATCATGAACCATGAGATCATGACCTGAGCCTAAATTAAGAGTCATATTGTCTTAGTTTTGGCTAGTGGAAGACCTACTCAGGCTGGCTCTTATGTCCCTTTGACTTGTCTCTTTCTTTTTGTGAGCACTACCTAACTTTCTGGCACAACCAGATGTTCCAGGCTTATCTTACACTTTCTCTTCCCTGACCCTGGTAATGGTTCTTTCTGTAAGGGCATTGGTTCTGTTCATTGAAAAATAGTATATAGAAAACAGAATGTAAGTGACAGATATGCTTGTTACTACAGGTGCATAGATGCATTGCTGCTCCCAGACCTTCTCATTGGACAGTGCTAGAAAATAGCATCCACACACATTTACCTGCGCATATGTTTTTTTCTATTTGTGTATATTGGGTAAGTTCACACTAATCCCTGAAATGCTGGGCCAAGTAGCACAGGGTTCCTTTTAGCCTTCTTCTTTTACGTATTTTTCACTTCCTTTTCTGTTAGTGAGAAACCACGCTACCATAATCCTCAACATACGTATTTGCTTAAACCGCTGTATACAGCCATTCTCCTAACCCATCCCTTCCTGGCCACTCTTCTTGTGGCTTGGGCCTCCACATGTCATCCGTGTCTCCTGGGGATGTGTGGGCCCCTGTTTCAGCCACATCGTGGCTGAAGGCAGCCTCAGACTCCACTGTGTATGGTGTGAGTATGATAGTAATCTATTTTTTTCATGTGAATCCGATGTTTAGGATCAATACCTCAGAGATGTTGGGAGGATTAGAGATACTGAATGTAAAAGGCCTTGCTCAGTAAATTGTAGTTAAGTGCAGCAGTTCGTTATCAATAACTCAGCAGTGTCATGATTGCTAGTGGCTGTTATGGCTGTTTATTATTTTTTATAAGCATCTTCATCATTTCTGATTACCTAAATCCTAGACAATTTCTGTAGGTTTCTAATCATATGTATTAGTGCTACTTTGATTTTTTGCAGTTAAAACTTAAAAGCAGGGATT